GCTGTCAGACGAAGATCAGTCTCACAAAGCTAACTGTTTGGGTACCTTCTGGCTTCCTTCTTCTATCCACACCCGCCCTGGAGAGGTCACTACAGCACGATGAGGGGCAGTTTACCGGTCAAAAAAAACCGTTGGATGGATGTGGGAGCGGGGCATCTGGGGCTTCCTCTCGACGGTGGGAGGTCTTCGCACTTCATTGGACAGCTACCACCCGCACAAGCTGGGCAGCATTCAGCCAATAAGGTGCAGTCCCGTCCATCTTCCGCTTGTCTCATTGGGTGCATGAGGCTGAAAGCCGATCGCGAAAAGCGAACCGATATTCAACAACACAACTAATCGACATTCAAAGGCCTTGCATGNTGCATGACAGGTCTCCAGAAGTTCCCACACGGGTGCTTCGTTCACGCTCCCGCGTTGGATTTACGCCCCACTGCCTTGTGCGTCAGACTTTTGAGTCAAGAGCTCCCAAAGAAAAACCCTTCGTCGATGTGGGCTACCGCGAAGTACGTCGTGCCCTAAAGTCTCAGGCACCCATTTGGAAAACCATCCTCACCATCGGTCCAGTTGATCCTCGCAATCCCGAATAATCCCAAACGCCTGCTGTTTACAAGACCCATCGGATATCACACAAACAATCAGAAGTTACAGGAGTTTTCAAGCCGAAATTCCCTTTCCACTTAGCCGCGTTCAATGTCTGCAAACTCAATCAGATCGGTCAACAAGCTGCCTTAGCTAGAACCCTCGAACCTTCCATTTAGATGAATGTCGTATCTCCGAAACAAGCATACAAGACCCCACTTCCATTATCTATTTGCGTTCTCCTGATCCAAACTCAAACTCACGCTTCATCCTTTATATATCAAGCGATTCGGCGTCCGAAGTTCGCGGTGTTCCTGGTGTCGGGATTGCGCTAAGTGCAAAGGCTGAACGCTCGTTTCTCGACTAGATTCCAGTCAGTAGCCGACTGTGCGCCGTACGTTTCAACGGTTCAGTTCAAGCCAGCAGCTACGTAATTAAGCGACGATGCTTATTCGTCGTATGCACCGACCGATTGCAGTATACCTGAAATCAAGTATGAATTCTACAAGGACCTTTCTCGATTACTCCAAAGCGTTCGATCAACGGACATAGTGGTAATCGCCGGAGACTTCAATGCTCAAGTGGGATCCCTGGACGAAGTAGAGGCTTCTTGGTGGACCACATGCAATCCCAGCCAACCGGACGGACAACGGAGATCGCCTACTTCAACTCTGTGCCAACCACGGACTGTTCCTGTCAAGCAAGACCTTGCACAAGAAACGACACCACCTTACATGGCAACCACCAACCTCGACTACATCGCTATCAGTTACCGCTGGAGGGGATCGATTCAAGACTGCCGCTCTTAATGGCCAACACCTGTGGATACGGACCACGCTTTGCTACGAGCCAAATTCTCCTTACGCCTGGCAAACAACCGTTAAAAAGCCACCAAAAACGGATACCAACGATACAACGTCAGTGATTGCTGCAAATCAGCCTTCGAAGCGGATCTCTCCGATCGCCTGTCATTTCAACTACCAGCCGAAGGACTTAATGGACACTGGAAGCAAATCAAGCAAGTTATGCAAACATCGATAAAAACAACGGCGGATTTTGGTACAAGGTCAAAACATCTCATCGACCTCGGCTGCCCTAGGCAGAGATATAGAGAAGACTGCGGTTATTGGTAATAGTCGCAATCTTTTCCGTCTGATTAGGATTGCGGGCCCTAAGAAAATAGGCATGAGATAATTAAGGAATCCGACGGCCCACTGATTAACGATCAGAAACACCGTCTTGGTCGCCGGGCTGAACATTTTGAGGCTCTCATCGACATCTGAACTACCACCCTCCACCGCAACTGCGCAAATGCCGCCAGTCCTCCATCTGAAATGGAGGTTTCCCGGGAAATAAGCTATATCTCAAAAGGCACAAGGCCTCCGGCTCAGACGGGCTGTCCCCATCGGCCATTAAGGATGGAGATTCAGCCTTGGTTTCGGAGTTGACGAAACTCCTGGGATCAGTGTGGGAGAGGGTAGGGGTTACAACTGAATGGTGTGAATCGGCCATCATACCGAATTAAAAGAAAAGTGACAGGTCCTCTTGTGAAAACCACAGGGGAATTAGTTTAATCAACGTCTCCAAACTTCTCACTGGTATCATACGCTATGCAGGTACATCGACTGCAATAGGTTTACATATTTCCGCGGCATTTCTGTGCGAAGCGGACTGGTACTAGCAGGACAGTATCTCACGTAACCGAGATGCGAGGAAAGGCCAAAAGAATAACAGTTCGTTTATTGAAGGAAATCATGGGGTTTAAATAATATGAACAAGACAATTTTATTGGTCATCTATGCCTCTACCAATCGCGTGCTAGTATTTCTGGTGTTGTACAGCTTTTGTCTGGGCCGCACGGCTTCTGATTGGTTGCTACAGCCGGCCTATGGTTCGTACTCCAGAAGCTGTGACAGGTATGTGCTTTGCTGACGTCACCTGGGAAGCTTGATCGATCACAGTTGTCCGAAAACTGTAACGTGTCGCCCCGTGGTATGCATCATCTCACAGGCTAGAATCATTGCAACTCTCCTCCCTCAAAAGAGCCGCGTCAATTTGGCTTGCTCTTCGAATCGCCGGTGGGGTATTCTCATCGTTAGATGTTCCAAGAGTATGCGACTGTGGATTTTGGTCTTCTGTATCTGGTAACGGTGTATCACCGGACAAGCATTCTTGGATCTCTTCTGTAGGGTCCTCAGCCGAAGTTGGAGTTTCATTCGAGTGAATTTGATCAATGTGGCGTGAACTATCGCATCTGTCAGGTCTGTGCTCTCAACCGCAGCTGGACAAATCATAAGGGTAGATTCCTTTTGATGGCCTTAGATCGTTTCATCGGAAGTACACGACGTAACTTGAGTCCAGTCATAGTGATGAGGACGGCAAGCTTCTCGTTCTTTAACAGTTTCGCTGGACTCTATTTGGTGGTGGCACGTGAAGCATTTCGGTGTTGCAACAAGTTGTCCAGGAATATTTCCGACTCTGAAATTTTCTTTGCATTCGCAGAAGTAATGGTTCTTTTCACCGTTTTCACCAAATTTTCGCTGCACTCTTTGAGCAGGAATGAGGTGGTGCTGTGCACAGATGTTGGCAATCAATAATGTCCAGCCACGTTTACAACTCCGCAGTGCAGAACAGCGTTATCGGTCACCAACACTTGAGGAACATCTTCCCGATTGAAGCACTATCGTAGAACCCGCGTCACAATCGATGTAGTCGGGGTACTGGTTAGAAACACCTCCGGCCACTTGGAGTACCAGTCAATGAGTACTAGTGTGTGATGACCGAAGAACGGCCTACAGAAATCGGTATGCACGCATTACCAAAAAAACAGCTTTCTGGTCATGCTACCCGATTCTTCAGTTTGATTTCTGCTTGTGTATGCACGCTTCGCAGTTCGACCAATGTCTTCATCTAGGCCGGGCCAGTAGCACGTCTGTCGTGCCAACGAATTCATCTTCTCCACACGTAAGTAGTCCTTGTGTGGATCTTCTAGCACTGCCTAGCGTAATGGAGGTGGGATAATCAGTCGATCGTTGCGGCATAGTGTTCCGTCAAGTTGGACACTGATTTCTTCACGGTGTGCATAGAATGCTGCGAACTTCCGCTTCGGGTCTGGATGCCAGCCTTTCGATAGGGCCGTTATGATCTCTGTGTAGTATC